GCTTAAAAAAACTGACACAGAAGAATAGTTGATATTTCTTCTCTCATTCCCATGATCCTCCCTTTCATTTGGTCACCCTACTCCAGTAATAAAGCTAGAACCCAGCAGTACACCAAGTACAAGGGAAAAAACACAGAAGTAGATATTTGGCACAAACAGAGGGAGATCAGATGACCTTTTCATGCTACTTCAGTGTTGACGCCATCCCTGGTAAAAAGGCCTCATTAAAACCCACTCGGTGGTAAACGTTTACTACAGAACACCTGTGGTGACGGGCCTGTGGCAGACACTGGCCCAGAAGATGCTAGTAAGGAACTCAGTCTTGTGGGATCCACAGAATCACAGGACACGCAGGGACGGAGACAGGTGGGCAGGCCGAGGGCACAGACGTTCACCCATGTGAGGAAGGCTAAGCGACAGCCAGAAGGAGCAGGAGGTGCCGCTGATTGTTTCTGAACAGGACATCTCAAACAGAAGGCCCAGCATGTGCAAAGGCACTGAGGGGTGCGCTAGTACAGTGCAGCCTGCCTGGAAACGGAAAAACTTTCCTTGTGTGAGCAGAGAGTGGACAGGGCGTGTGGGAACTCGCAGGGGATTCGTACGTGGTTACATCATAAGTCAGGGAGCTGTTAGATCATAGAGGGCCCTGGACTGTATCCTGTAGGTGATTTTAACACAAAAATGCCACAATCACTTATGGTTCAGTAAGATCCCTTGGGTAACAGAAGGGAAGATGAGTTAAAACGAAGTAATCCCCAAAAATGACACTAGTAAGAAGGCTATTATATTACTACGCAAACAGATAATTTGAACTTGAGAAGCAGCAGTGGAAATGATGATCAGGTGACCACTTTAAAGAACACTCAGGAGTCCAGCTTCGGGCCCCCATCTTAGAGGAAAGGCTGGGGAGGAGAGAGGAAGGGGCAGGGGGAAAGAACACTCAGAAAATAAAGGATGTGCTAGACACCATAGGTCCCAGCTAACTGCCATTTCCAACTCCCTGCCCCCTCCCCGTAACCCCACAGAGCCGAGGCCAGAGGACCCACGTGACAGCTGTGGACAGTCTCTGGGAAAGCTGTCTATTGAAATGGGAGGTGCAGGCAGACAGGCCTGCTCACCTGTCTGCCTTCCCGTCCTGACAGGGTAGGGTCTGGGGTGCTATGATGTCATTTTCCAACTCCGAGGGGACAACACAGAAGGCAGCGCCGAGGACAGCGAGCGCAAGTGTGGAAGTCCAGGTCCCGATGACACGCCGAGCCACGGGCCTACCCCAGGTCTGTCTATTTGTGGACTTAAGATCCTTATCCTTCCAGGTTAAGCCACCGATTATCAAGTGGTTCCTTCCAGCAAAATCAACCAAACAAAACAGACAGGGTCTGTGACTTAACTGACTGCTTGTTTGCAATGGAGAGGAACTTAGTTTTATTCCCAGGGTTCTGGCTTGGAAGCTGAGCTAGTTACAAAAACCATTTCCACAGAGAGGTGCGGGCTGTGGGAGTAAAGGGGAAGGGTCTGCTGTGGGAAGGAGGGGAGGGAAAGGCTGTTACTGAGCGTGTTGCTGCAGAGATTATGGAATTATTTAGGTGAAGGACACGATCTGATGAACTGCTGAGCTGGGAAGTCAGAGCCTGACACGCCTGCAGGGCCTCAGCTTTCCTGGCGTCTAATGGAGGGGACGGGTGCGGGTGGGGGGTTCAAAAGAATGGAGCAGACCAAATTTCCTTATTTGAAGAGTTCTAGGAAGTGTGTTTATTTTCTATTAAGACTTTGGAGATGTACAGATACTATTTAAAAACAGGAAGAATAGCCAAAACCGGTTTGGCTCAGTGGATAGAGCATCAGCCTTTGGACTGAAAGGTCCCAGGTTCGATTCCGGTCAAGGGCATGTACCTTGGTTGCGGGCACATCCCCGTTAGGGAGTGTGCAAGAGGCAGCTGATCGATGTTTCTCTCTCATCGATGTTTCTGACTCTCCACTCTTCCTCTCTGTGAAAAACCAATAAAATATATATTTAAAAACAAACAAACAGGAAGAATATCAATAAAGTATACTTAAAAATAAAAATAAAAACAGGGAGAAAATTGTTTGACAATCGACAAACATCATCACACTAATGCATATGCTGGTTTTATGAAAATTCATTAGTAGCCAAGATAACACGAGAGCACATGACCTGGAACTACGATAGATGAAGGGCTTGTGCTAGAGTGACTACACCCAACTGTCCCAGCAGCGAAATGATCTGATCATCTGCTTGCCAATGTGGGCCAGTCAGCTGGGAGTATGGGGATAACCTCATTCCCAAGACTCAGAGTAACCCCAGGACATGTTTCATTGGGGGCAGGTTACCCTCCCCCCCAATAAAACATGTCCTGAGAGAAACATAATCACCGAGAAGGTGGCGGGCAGTAATTTACAGCGTGGTCACGAGGTGACGTCAGGGGGATGCTGCTCCTCCTTCAGGGAGGACGGTCACACAGGTGATCCGCACCAGGCAGAGTTAGGGGAAAGCAATGACCAGCAGCTCCCACCTGGCAAACAGGAGCAGGTGGCATCTCACAGCCAAGAGGCACCGGAGGCATGGCAAGAGGCCCCTCAACACAGTGATGATCAGCGCATGTTTACCACAGCCGACAGCAATCCTCACCAAGGGGCCCAGAAGGAGCAGGGAGCACTTTCAAAGATAAAGAACATGCCCTTGACATCAACCAAAAGGACTCAAAAGCCAATCCGGAGTTGAGCATAATAGACACATTTGCACCTCAACCCACTTAATTCTAAAACGCAAGTCATGCTGCTCTGGACCACAACTTTAAGTGGGTCCCCCTGGCTCACAGACACCCCCCCCCCCCCCCCCCCGGCCCAACCCTTCATTCCAGCCCCAAACTAAGAAGAGTTCTCATCAGACTTTCAGTGTGTCTCCTTTCCTGTATCCTACCCTCCTGTTCTTCTGGACCAGCTGCTGCTTCCAAATCCAGCCTGTGCTTCCTGCTCCTGCCATCTCCCCACCTGCCGGCCTCCAGTGTCCCCTTACCTTTCCCTGTCTCCTCACCCACAGCCTGGTGGAGCCCGTCCTTCACTTCTGGCTATGCTCTTATCCAGATCGTGCTCTTCTACTCTGAGTTGTTACTACTACTGCACCTCTCCTGTGACATTCTCAACTCCTTAAACAAGGACAACTCATTGGACAGGGTCATACTTCCGTAATTGTAGATTGCTGAATTAGTGACATGAAACAACCGAGGCCCCCAAAAGAACATCAAAAGCAAGTTTATCAGAAGCCTAATAATTCAATTCTTGACCATTTTGATACACAGTTATATTCCTCTGCAAAGCAACATATAAGAAATGAGAAACGGGAATTGGTGGAGATAATGAATCAGACGGCGGCCTGGAAATTCCAGCCCCTCCCTGCTCTTAGTTACCTGGGCAGGTTTCACTTCCTCTTTCTCCACCTGCTTTCTCGCTACCAAGGTGAAGTGAGGAACTAGTTAACAGTACTAATCTCTTAGGACAGTGCGGCAAACTCAGTAGCCAACAGAGCCAAATACCAACAGGACGACGATTGAAATTTCTGTGGAGAGCCACATTTTTTAAACTTAAACTTCTAACGCCACTTCTTCAACATAGACTCGCCCAGGCCGTGGTCCTTTGTGGAAGAGCCACACTCAAGGGGCCAAAGAGCCACGGTTTGCCGACCACGGTCTTAGAAATATTGCTCCCTTTAAAATATAGTGGTTTCGGCCCTAGTGGGTTTGGCTCAGTGGATAGAGCGTTGGCCTGTGCCTAAAGGATCCTGGGTTCGATTCTGGTCAAAGGCACAATGCGGGGTTGTGGGCTCTAAGCTCCGTGTGGGGCGAGCAGGGGGCAGCCAATCAGTGATTCTCTCTCATCACTGATGTTTCTCTCTCTCTCTCTAGCCCTCTCCTTTCCGCTCTGAAATCAATATATAAAATATACATATTATACATATATATGTACACACATATATATACGTATATATGTATATATCCCTACTAAGTGCCAAATATAGGCCATGAAGAAGAAAAAATAAAATTTAAACCTAGAGTTATTTCTTAACCAGCGACACCAGGCCATGTTTTCTAGGATCCCTGGTTCCCATTCTTCTCTGGAAAGTGATCAAGCTTCAGGCTCCTAAGCACATTATCCTCCAGGCTCTTAGTGGACTCAGTTGAGAACCCACCTCCGGCCCCAGGCGGCCGCCAGGCCCTCCCTCCAGCCCTCCCTCCTCCCCAGGACGCGGGGGAGAAAAAGTTCAGGTCTGGGGCTGGGAACCGAGACCTCTGACCTCGAGGACCTGGGCTCTCCTGCACACACAGTAATGGAGGGACTTTCTCAGGTGCCCAGCCGCTTCCAGCCAACTTCAGGACAAACCGTCCACGACAAAACCAGCTCATCGCCAAAAGCAACCAACCAGGCACCGACCGGGAGCCCCGGCTGCGCTCTGCCCGGGATCCAGGCGCCCGGGCCGGGCCGGGCTGGCTCCCAGGCGGGGTGCCCCGCTCCCGGTCCCGCCTGACACCTGTGGCATCCCCCGGACGGGGTCCCCGGCTCCGGGAGAGGCGCCCCCTCCCCTCCATCGGATGTTTCTGCACAAACGCCCCGGCGGCCAGGGGCGGGCTCCGGGCGCCTCCGGAGGGACCGGCCCGGCCCCCGACGGCGGGACTTTCTGGACGGACTTTCCGGGGGGCGGGCCGGGGGTGCTGAAGCCTGGGGGTGCTGTGCCCGGAGCAGGGTGGTCCGGCGGACCCGAGAGGGATTGGGGGGGAGGCGCCCGGGGCACCTGGGCTGCGAGTCGGAGGTCGGACCCGCGCCGAGCGGGGGCCCAAGGGCAGTTCATGTCGCCCCGGGCCCCGCCGACACCCTCGCCCTCGGGGATTCGGAGCCACGGCTCCCCTCCCCCACCCTCCGGCCTCCGCGGGGGGCGGCCTCCGCGGGGCCCGGGTCCGAGGGGCGCGGGCCGGGCCGCACTCACTCACCATGTCGTACACGTTGAGCACCACCAGCTGGTTGGCCCCCATCCTCCTGCCCGCGGCCGCCGCCTCGCCCCCCAGCCGCTCGGTCTCCGCCGCCCCGCCCCGCGGCCGCCTCAGGGCCCGAGCCGGGCACCTACGCCCGCGGCAGCCGGCGCAGGGGCATCGGGAGGCCGGGCCGCTCCAGGGCGCCGCCGCCGCCGCCGCCGCCAAGACCTCCGCGCCGCCGCCGACGGGGCCGCCGACTGCTGGCCGCCCGCTCCGGGCCCAGGCGCCTCCTCCGGGCGGCAGGCACGTGGGGGAGGGCGGGGCCTGGCGAGGGGCGGGCGCCGGGAGCTCCGAGGGCGGAGCCGGCCCGGCGCCCGAGCCGGGCCCGCCTGCGCTTCTCTTACCGCCGCAGCCGCACCTCGGGCCTAAAATGGCGCAGCCTCCCTCCCCCGCCCCCCCGCGCGTCTCTCCACCTCAGGGAGAGGAGTTCCAGGGAAACTACAGTTACCAGCATGCAGTGGGGCTCACCCGCTGCGTGCCTAAGCGCGGAGGCGGGGTCTCAACTATTACGGTCCTTCGTCGCGGGGTTCTTGCCAAGCCTTGACTACAACTCCCAGCATGCTGCGCGGGTCCCGACCCTATCAGACTAGGGCTTCCCGGGAGACTACAGTTCCCAGCATGCAGTGCTTGGGGAATCTGCGCCTGATCCTTTGCGGCCCGCCCTTGACTGCGGTGTGAAGTCCTCGACGTTCGGTCCCTTTTCATTGGTCCTGGTGATGCTAGTTTTGTCCGTGGAGCCCTGGTGAAGATAACGAAATGTGGCAAAAGACCGCAGCAATGACCTTGTTTTCCAAATCCCTCTTTTTTTTGTTGTTTTTTTTTTGCTAGGGGAGGGGGTGGGGAATAAAGGTAGGCGGGTCACTGGTGGTGGGTGGGGTGCAACATACATCCAGTTAATCCTCAAGGTGGAATTTTACATTTTATGAAACTGTCCTCATGAAACGTGACTCAGATGAGCCCAACCCTAGCACCCAGTTGGTGCTTTTGCATGCATTTAACAAATATTTGTTGTGTCTGCCACGTGCCAGGCCGTGTTGTTGGCCCTGGGAAGTACAGTAATAAACAGGAAGGAGGACAAACAAAATATGGGTGGTTTGTGCTTTGCAGAAAATTAGAATAGGATGAACTGATTGAGAGTAATCTTAAAAGAGGCTGCAGCGTGAAAATCTTTTGCCAACTTGAGTTTTAAGCTGAGATCTGGAATGACAAAAAAGCAGACCTATAAATATCAGGGGACAAGTATCCCATTAATAGGAAACCACAAACCTAATTCATTCAACTAATTAGGAAAGCTTTCCTAAGTGCGCGTCAAAAGGTAGTTTGGATATTGGGGTTGTGGGGGGACACAGAAAATTAGAGAGCTTTGGAATATTTTGGACGAAAAGAGCCACATGCTAACCTGACAAGCTCAGGGAAGGCCTGCGAGGCAGTTTTGCAAACTCAGAGACCTAAAATAACCACAAAAAATGGTCTGAAATTAAATATTTAACTACAAACAGGTACCTTTAGTCATGTCCTGGGCTGATATTTTCCCTGACAAAGATCAACTCAGATCTTCTTTACTGAGCCCATTTGCCTATTTGCCTCTAAGATAACATATCTGTGAGATGTCTGGGTAACTTGTAACTTCCCTTTTTTCCTGGAGCCCTTGGGGCACAACCTAATGTGGTGGGCGCCAGGACTGATACCACAAATTCCTTCTTTATCATGTTAATTGTTCCTGTACCCACCTAAGTATGTGCCCATCATTTTACTTTTTATCCAATCCCAGGGATTTCCCACCACTTTGCTTTATCCCACCTCTTTAACCCGTCACCAATGAATTTCATGTAACCCACCTATGTTACTCCTTTGATTACAATGTATAAATAGAAATGTCACCTGCCATTCTTCGGAGCATTATCTCAGTTCATTGAGGTTCTTCTTCCCGGCATATGTCGACAGTTTGGCTCAAATAAACTCACAAAAATTCTTTACACGTTTCAATTTTTTTTCCCGTTAACAAGAGTATCTAAGACTTGCTAATGGGTTGGGTGTTGAGTTTATTAGGGAGAGAACATTCAAGGATAACTTCTAGATTTTCAACTTGGGAAATTGTGAGGATGTTGGTGCCAAGATGTGAAAATTGGGAAGAACAGGTTGGTAGGAAGAAAGTCAAGAGTTATGGTTTGGTCATGTTAAGTTGGAGGTGCCATTTATTTATTTACTAGAAGCCTGGTGCATGAAATTCATGCACTGGCAGTGGGGAGGGGTGGCCCTCAGCCCAGCCTGCACACACTCCAATCTGGGACTCCTCAGGAATGTCAGACTGCCAATTTCCCTCTCACAATCCGGGACTGCTGGCTCCCAACCACTCGCCTGCCTGCCAGCCTGATCACTCCCTAACCATTCCCCTGCCAGCCTGATCGATACCTAACTGCTCCCCTGCCAGCCTGATTGCCCCCAACTGCCCTCCCCTGAAGCCCTGGTCCTCCTCTCAACTGCTCTTCCCCTATCAGCCTGATTGCCCTTAACTACCCTCCACTGCAGGTCTGGTCCCACCCACCTGCCCTTCCCCTGCTGGCCATCTTTGACCACATGGAGGCAGCCATCTTATGGAAAGGTGTGAGGGTCAATTTGCATATGGAAGCAGCCATCTTATGGAAAGGTGTGAAGGTCAATTTGCATATTACCTCTTTATTATATAGGATTTATTTGTTTTTTTAATCCTCACCCAAGGATGTTTTCCCATTGATTTTTAGAGATAGAGTGGGAGAGAGAGGGAAAGACAGAAATGTCGATGTGAGAGAGACACATCGACTGGTTGCCTCCTGCACACACCCTGACTAGGGCCCAGGCCAGGGAGGAGCCTGCAACCAAGGTACATGCTCTTGACCAGAATTGAACCTTTCAGTTTGCTCTATCCATTGAGCCAAACAGCTAGGGCTGGAGGTGCCTTTTTGACATCTGTCATGTCAATGGGCATTTGGATAAATGAAGCTGAGGGACTGATTGGATTACCTAGGGAAAACTAGTTAAAGAGAAAGGGGTCAAGGATAAAATTCTTAGACCCTTCATTTACAGATCAAGTATAGGAGGAAGAGGAACCGTGTGCCTGGAGAGGATGGTAACACAAAAGCCACAAGACTAGATGTAGCAATATGAAGGTTACTGGTAGCCTTGACATGAGCAGTCTCTGGGAAGGAGTGAGGTCCAAAGAACATCTCGAATGGTTTGAGGAGTGGATGTGAAGTGAAGCAATGGAGACTATAGCAGCTAGGGTACAAATGGGATCCGGCTGTGTGGTCAGTGGAGGCCATTTTAAAGATGAGAATACTAAGGTCTACTTGTATGTAAAGAGGGAACTTGATGATCTAGGAGAGAGGGCGAGGTTCCCAAGGGCAAGGTAAGAAGAGATCCTCCAGTGCGCAAGTGGAAGGAAGTGAAGAGGTTGACCATTAGTAGGAGGGATGCTTTATTCATAGTGGCAGCATGTAAGGTAGATGCAGGTGCATAGCGATGGCCTAGAACAGTGTTTCCCAAAGTGTGGCACGCGTACCCCCAGGGGTACGGGAAGAGTTCGGTGGGGATATGCACTGCACCGTGCTTAGCGACGCCTAATTCTGCGTTCTCATGAGGACGATGGGTACTCAGCGTTACGAAAATTATAGAAGGGGTACACATATGTCAAAAGTTTGGGAAACACTGGCCTAGAAGATACAGAGACATTTGAGGATGGGGAAATGAGAGATTGTTTTGTTTTTTTGTTTTCTGATTTGCTTTTATTTTCTCAATGAGTAAGAGACAAGATGATTAGTGGAGAGTGAGAGAGGGGAGAGGTGGAGTGGAAGGAATTTGAAGAGAGAAGGTATAAAGTAGGAAAAACAAATACATTAGGAAAATAGGATTGAACTCCAGGAAGTGCTGAGTGGCAGTAAATGCTGTGTGCATGACAGTTCTCAGACAAAGTTGTGGACAAACTTTTAGAATTGTCAGCTAGCTGAGGAGAAAGCATAGCTGGGATTCAGAGAATAATACGTTTTTGTCTTAGATGTCTCTGGCTATGAAGTGACTTTTTAAGCTTGTTGGTATGGCAGTGAAATGTGGTTGATCTTTGACCAATCTCTGACTGTAGGGGTTGCAGTCACTGTCCAGGTAGGCACAGCTACTCTGTATCTGGAGTGATAATCACCTTGGCAAAGGTATATAATCTTCCCTGGCTAGGTTCAGCATGGCTTACCTGTCAATCCAGTATTTCATGTATCTGCAGGAGAATTATTCCATGTTGGTGCTAAGGTAGAGATCATCCTTGTTGAAACTTGGGTAATCAGCTGCCCCATTGCCTATTTCAATATATATATTGAATATATATGTGCATATATATATAAATTTCATAGAGGAAGGAGAGGGAGAGATACAAAATCATTGATGAGAATCATTGATCGGCTGCCTCCTGCACGCCCCCTACTGGGGATCGAGCCCACAACCAGGGCAAGTGCCCTTGACTGGAATGGAACCTGGAATCCTTAAGTCTGAAGGCTGACAATCCACTGAGTCCACTGAGCCAAACCAGCCAGGTTCTGTTTCATTTGTCATTGGTACAAGGGGAGCTGAGGCCCAAAACCTGTGACCCGACCAGACAGGAACTTGATTTGCTGTTGGTTATCTGTATGAGGATGTTTACAGGGAATTCCATAGGATCAGCAGGTAATTGAATATTGCTGACCATGTGAGTGTGAACTGTGAACTGTTTCTGATCTTCCTTTCACAGGGGACAGCCTTGCTCCTGATCATTTATATAGAACACCTAGACAAAATAGTAGCAAATAAAACTCATCAATATATTAAAAAATAACATATCCAGATCAGTTTTTGAGATAGTTCCTTTTTATTCATACCTAAGATGATTTAGCTCCAAGGAAACCAAGCCACCTTGGTACTCTGCTCCATGGCCATGAATCAGGCCAGATTCCTTCGTGGCAGACTTCCTGTGAAAACTATCTTCAGGGCCTAGCCAATGACTCTTCTGTATTGAGCAACGTCTGCTAATAAATTCTGTGTCAAGAAGGAAATACCAGTTGTTTATTTTTTATTTCATTCCCCTTGCCTTTGGCATTCTAATTCACAAAACCACCACTTCAAGGTCTACAGGTTTAGTGCCCATGTTTTCTTCTCAGTATCTTACCGTTCCAGTCAAACATTTCTTGGCAAAAAGGGGCCAATGCTAACTAACATAGG